AAAGAAAGAAAGAAAGAAAGAAAGAAAGAAAGAAAGAGGAAAAATTATATCAGGTCTAGTTGTGATTCTGAGAATTCCCAAAGGCTGGAGGACCCTCTCCGGGAAGTGGCACAGGCCTTAATGTCTGTGGACTTAGTGTCCTGTAACTGTTCACACAAATCACATTTCTGCCATCATTTCCCACAGTAGAGAAATATCCTGCATCCCTGAAAAGCAACCACGGCACTGAAATTATCTTTAAACTGCAAGGAGGCAATGTGTGAAAGAGAGATTGTGTGAACTGGCAGCTCCAAGCCCTGAAAGACTGCCTCTGTTCCACACACCACCCCTTCCACACACCCTCCCAGGCCAGCCTTCTCGGCTGTAATCTGACAGAATGCTCGAAGGAAAGCAGCCCTGGCATTTGCTTGGGTGGTCTGATTTCAAGTGGATTGCTAGGGTGGGGGAAAGACATTACAATGATGCCTCTTTTTAGTTTTCCACCTCTGCATCACTTGACAAGACTCGTGAGAAACATCTGTGAACAGACAGCCTAGAATTGTTCCAGTGCAGGGACCCAACAATCCAGAATTAACAGAGGAACCAGGGTGCGCCGAGGGAGGTTGTGAAATCACTAGGCTTGCCTTGCAGCTTCCTGCTTCCTCCTAAGAGTTTGGTAAGCCTCTGCCACACTCCAGGGATTTCACTTTCCACTCAGAACTCCTTTTGGCAGGGCAGTTTTCTAATGATTTCAGTTATATCTATATGCAAGGAAAGGATTCATGGAAGCCTGTGATTACACTTTGAGGTGGAGGAAGTAGGGGCTTCATAAAAAACCTGGATAAAGGGTGGGGGAGATAGTTATCAGTAAATGGATGTCTTTGCAAGTGTGAAAACCTGAGCTGGGTACCCATCAAGTGGGAAGACCCACTTTTTTTTTCAAATATGCATCAGTGTTGTGCCTGCATGAGGATGTCGGCCCTCTGGAACTGAAGTTCCACACAACTGTGAGCTGGGTATTGACCCCGGTCCTCTGGAAGAGCAGTCAGTACTCTTAACCACTGAGCCATCTCTCCAGCCCCACAACTCCCGTTTTAAAACTTTTTTTGAGAGAGGGTCTCACTGAGTATCTCTGGCTGGTCTGACACTCACTCTGTAGACCAGGCTGGCCTCAAACTGACAAAGACTGCTTGCCTCTGCCTCCACAATTCTAGGATTAAAGGCATGGTAACACTCTCAGCCAGAACTCATATTTTTAAAAGACAAAAAGTCAGAAGTAGGGGCTGGAGTGGTGAGGAGTGCTGGCTGTTCTTCCAGTCCCTAGCACCCACATCAGACAGCTCACAACTACCTGTTAACTCTAGCTCTAGGGGATCTAGTGCCTACTTCTGTGCCCTCCTCCCTTGGGCACCAGCATGTATATGGCTCACATGAACACAAGCACACATCACATATTTACATATTTGTAATCCCAGTCCTGAGCAATACCAAGTCAGGCAGATTCCTGGGCTTACTGGCCCAGCCAGCCAAGTTCTAGACCAGTAAGAGACCGTCTCAAAAAGAAAAAGAAGGTTTTGCTCTGTTTAACTTCCATGGCTATCCAGGACAGCCAGGGCTACATAGAGAAACCTTGTCTCAAAACAAAACTTTATATGAAGGGGTCAAGTATGGAGTCAAAAACCTTTAATTCCAGCACTTAGGAGGTAGAAGCAGGAAGAACCATGTGAGTTGCAAGTCAGCCTGGGCTACATAGGAAGACCCTATCTAACACACACACACCTCCAATCTATAAGGGGCTGCCCCAAGGCAGAGCACATGCTCAAGACCGAGTTTAATCCTCAGCAACAACAAAACCAAACATCAATAAAAATCTGTCCTCCTCCATCCCTTCACACAAAGGATGACGAGACAGCTCAGCAGGATGATCGTCACTAAGCCTAACTACCTGAGTCTGAGTCCTGTGAGTCATGTGGAAGCAAAGGACTCACTCCTGAAAGCTGTCCTCTGACCTCTATCCTGAGACACAGCATGAACATGTACAACAAATGTAAAACTTTTGGGGGTGGGGGATTTTGAGACAGGGTTTCTCTGTGCAGCTCTAGCTGTTCTGGAACTCGCTCTATAGACCAGGCTGGGCTCAAGCTCACAAAGATCCACCTGCCTCTGCCTCCCAAGTGCTGGGTGGGAATAAAGGCGTGAGCCACCACTGCCAGGCAATGTTAAACATTTTTAAAAGTGCCAATTGATGACCATTACCGGCACTCTCGTTTCAGGAAAGACAAGGCTGCTCTCTGGCAAGGTGGCCCGTACCTGTTCATCCCAACACTTGGGAGACAGAGGCAAGATTACTGCAATAGCCAGGCCAGCCAGGGCTACATAGTGAGACCCTGTCTAAAAAAAGAAAGAAAAGTAAAAAGGTGACAAGCGTGACAATACCACAGCCTTTCCTTAGCAGACCTGAAGTAACCCCAAGACAAAAATGTATGAGATTCGAAAGTCTTTAAAACTGCACCCCACGGGCAGCGAGACCCAGGTCTATATTCTCCTGTAATGCTAATTCTGGCACACTGTTGGCTCTAGCACGTCCCAGCCTCACTGGAGTCTTGGCTTCTGTAAAACTGAGATCTTAGAATCGACGTCTAAGAACATTTACGGTCCCCTGTCAGCCACAGACTCCAAATAGTAAGTATATTTTACAGTCCACCATTATATGGTATGACAAAAAAAGTCTGTTCTCCAGACTGACTAGGTGTGACAATCTGAGTCTGTCACCTCTCCACCTGCATGTTCCTGAGCTATGAGCCAACACCCTGAGCAAATGAAACTGGGTTCACACCTAGTCATCCAAGGACTACACCCTCCCAGTGCCCTAGCCCCGGCAATAGGGAAGCAGCATACACCATCCTAAGCTCTGAGCAGAAGCAGCTCCAGGCATCAGATGCAAGGCTGCTTGCTTCGCCTCACACAGCTTCGTGCCAAGAGTGGAAAGTCATTCCAGTATGAGGGGGAGCATATCACAGTTAGCCAGGCTCTCTTCTTCCCACAGGATTCCCCTCCAGATGTTGCCGATTTGCTAGCCAACAGCTGCTTCCTGACCCACCATATCCTGAGGCTGCCTGGAAAAACTCTTATTTGAATGCAATGCAGAAGTTACTTTCTGTCACTTCTAAAATTACTATCACGCTTTGCCCAATCATTTCCACCAGAGATGCCCAAGAATCCTGCCCTGTGCTGGCCCTGGAGAAGATCCTGCTGCAGTGCTGGACAGCTGACTGCCCCTGATAGCAGCAGAAAATTTATTATTCTGACAGAAGAAAACTGAACAAAGAAACATCATTGCATACCACATACTCCAAAAGATTAGTAGATCCTTGCTATATATAACCCAGACTCCAGTGTTACAGAGCCATTCATCATGAAATCACCGGAGTTCACACAAGACATTAGCAGGAAAACTGCAAACACCCTTTCCCTACTCATTAATAGAGGCTACTGCTTGCCTTACATAAGAGACAAAGTCCTGCTAACGCTCTGTCAAGAAACATTAAGCTAAAAGAGGAATACTCTAAATTCCCCAGTGGAACAAGGAATGAACTACCAAAATCTGCCTGTGAGTTCCTATCAGCTAGGTCACCTTGAGAAAGAAGCAAAAAATTTCCACTCTCAGCCTGGCTGGGTGTGGTGGCACAAGCTAGTTATGGCTCTACTTGGGAGGCAGAGGAAGGACTCCAAGTTCAGGATCAGCGTGTACACATAGCAAGTTCAGAGCCAGTCTGTGATACATAAAGGGCCAGGGATGAAGCTCAGTGCTACCCATTATGCTCAGTGGTAGAGGATTTGCCTAGTATGCGCAAAGTCGTGGTTCAATCCCATCACTGCAAAACTTCAAAACAACAATAAATTCTATTCTCCTGACTGCATGACCATCATCTATCCAGGGCACCTCTGCCTTTTCTTTTCCACCTCTGGAAGGATCCATGGTGGGGAAGTTCAAACGACTTCTCCAGCACCTGCAGGAAACTTTGAAGTTGCAGATGACCAAAATAAAATAGCAGCAGGATGAAGCTGCGAGCCCGCTGACACACTGACACAGGAGAAACAACTGGGCTCGGAAATCACCAGTCAGCACAAGCACCCTTCCCTCAAACTGGTTTCGGGCAGACATGAAAGAAGAAGCACAAAGGGCCCCGAGGCTGCTGACGAGAGTTCCCGTCCTTCAGCAAAGACAAGGTGGCATCCCTGTGTTCTTCACTCAAAAGTTTGGCTTTAAGTCCGAAAACTGTTGTATTCTTGAATGTTCCAAAGGTCAAGCCAGCAACCACCCTTGCAGATTTGCCAAACTAGTGTACCTTGTGCTCCAAGGTCCTTCACCAACACCCCACCCCACCCCACCCTGCAACCCTCCCTTAGTGGCCCAAACTCACTCCAAACAAAGCCCTTGGTCAACATGTAGAATTTTTGACCGAGACCACTTTCTGGCTTGGGCTCTCTACCCTCCCTCGGCTTTCTTTCCTTGTAAACACCGGGGACTCTCCTGTACTTTAGATACTTGCTTCTCTAGTGCTGCTGCTGCTGGGGCGTTGGGCTGTCTCCACCCCATTAGACTTCTACTTCCTCATTATGTTTCAGTGACCCTTTCTCCGACGATGACTCAAGACAGGTGGATTCTCAAGACTGTAGAAATATCACAGCCACACTCTGCTTCCCGTCCTGTCTCTAGGACACCTCCCTAAGGATAAGACCGTGCCTGCTGGCCTTTCTCCAGTAGGGTCCAGTCAGAGCGGCTACATCCCGGGGTGCAGTAAGAGCCCACTTCGTTCCTTGCTGCAGCGCCCCGCCCCCTTGCCGCAGTTCCACCTGTTGCAAACTCCCGCCTCCATACAAACTATGATAGGCCCGGCTTCATATTCCACTCTCCCATTGGGCAGGCCATCCGTCCCTCCTACGCCACGTCTCCCGGCTCTGGCGAGAAAGAGGCCCAGGCCGCGGCCTTTGGCCCTAAAGCAAGTTGGGGGTTCTACCTGGAAGGGGTTTACATCCACTGGGTCCGCGAAGGGGTTAGTGTCGAAGGCCGACATGGTGATCGGGGGCCGGCGGGCGATCTCTGCGAGCGCTACAGCCTTAGAGCACTCAGACCCAGCAGCACTCAGTGTGGACCCTCCACTTCCGGGAGCGAGGCAGCCGTTCTGGCGCAGGCGTAGGGCTCTCTGCGGGGGCGTGGTCCTGTGTCGTCACAGAGGTCCGCTCCGCCCCCTGCCCAGCCCACTGGAAAGCGATGGATAAGCATTCTGTTTCCATCTACTTATTTTTTTTCTGCCAAGGTGCTGGAGGTAGATCCCAGTGCCTCACGAATGATAGTCAAGCGCTGTAGCCCTAAGCTACATTCCTAGTCCTACAGTTCACTTCCCCCTCCTGTGCAGAATGTCTTCTGATACTTTCTTTCCGATTTGTGTTTATTCTGAGCTTCCAAATCAGGGGCCAGCAGCAAACTCTATGCATTCCTAGAAAGCAAAATTGGGAAGTTAGGGCAAGTCCTGGAGCAAAATGACAAGGGTGGCATGTCAATCAGAGGAATTACTTGAAGAACTGTGCTCCAGGATAAAGTTGGGGAGCCCTTGCATCAGCACCTGCCGTAGATAAGTCCCACATCTTTTTAGGCCCCACCCTCCTTGTGGTTTCAGGAATGTCCTGAAGGAGGTTGCTAATTCACTTAACTTATTTATCCATGTCTTTTGGGTGCTGTGGAAAGCAGCGCTTATCGTTTCTTACCCTGGAACGAAACAGTGTTACTAATTGGTCTATTCTTGGTGTTGTCAAAACAGATGTTTTTCCTTTTGTTGGTTTCCAGGGTTGTTGGTTGGTTGGTTTGCTGTTTCGTCGTCGTTTATTGTTGTTTGTATGTTTGAGGCAGGGATTTTACTGTACAGCTCAGGATGGCCTTGAACTTGTGATCCTAAGATGGTACTGGTATAAAAACACGGGGAAATTATGGGGATTTGAAAAGGGAAAGGAAGCCCTCACCTCAGAGTCTGATTGATGCCTTCTCCCTCATCAGCTAATAAGTAAAAATTATAGCATGATTAACATTTACTGTAAAGGCTGGTAACATAAACATATGCATGTCCTTTCCCAAGGAATCTCCTAAGATTCTCGAGCAAATTATTTACAATGAACACTTGGTCTTCCTGCAGCCTGGAAAGCTTATCAATGGTAATTAGACAAGTTCCCCTCAGAACTACCAGAAATCTTATGTAAGACTTTTCTTTTTAAAAAGTAGTAATAGATCCCGGAGTGGTGGCATGGGCCTTTAGTTCCACCACTCAGGAGGCAGAGGCAGGCAGATCTCTGAGTTCAGGGCCAGCCTAGCCTACAGAGTGAGTTCCAGGACAGCCAGAGCTGTTACACAGAGAAACCCTGTCTTGAGGGGGAAAAAAGCCAAACAAAAGTGGGCTGAAGAGATGGCTCAGGGGTTAAGAGCCCTGGCTGCTCTTCCAGAGGACTCACATGGCGGCTCACAACTGTCTATAATTCCAGTTCCAGGGGACCGAGCCCCCTCACACAGACACACATATAGGCAAAACACCAATCCACATAAAATAAGAAAATTTTAAAAACAAAAACAAAGTAGTAGTGCTTGTTATGCCTACACGAGGTACGGCTCGGTGTGAGTACTTGTGTCAGAAGGTAACTGTGGTGTTGGTTCTCCTCACCTTTATGTGTTTTCAGGGATTGAACTCAGGGCGTTAGGCTTGGTGGCAAGCACCCTTACCCTCAGAACCATTCTAATGTGTGGACTCCAAACATTTAGTTTGCCCTCAAGATCTTTTGAAATTTGTCTTCCCCATCTCTTCTCACCCCCTCTTTTGCCTACACCCCTTCATTCCTCTCTTTAGTGACTTTTTGATTCCTGGAACTTCCCTAATCTCTCCTGTCTCCAGGCTTCACACATGCTGTCCCTTCTAACTAGCATGCTCTTATCCCATGCTCCACTGAGTGTACTCTTCAAATCCAGTTTCAGACATTTTCCTCACAAGTGACTTTTCTTCACTAGATTAGATTACCCCGTACTCATATTGCTGCAATTTCCTTCCTAGTGTAGAGATTTTAATTGCACACCTGTTGTCTGTCTCCCCCAGTAGACAGTAGGCTCTACAGAGGCCCACTTTGCTCACTCTCGTGTATCTGGTACTTACATATCCTGGTACTAGTGCCAAGCACGTGATAAGCATTTAGCAAACACTGTTTCCACTGATCAGTTTCCTTTACCTTTCTCCCTCCTCCCCCGTGGATGTCCTAGTTATCCACCCAAGCTGGGCTCAGTGCCACCAGAAAACATCTGAAAGTTGAGACAATGAGAAAGGGACCCATCGGTGCTGCTCTCTGTCCCTCGGCCCCTAGAGATACCCCTCCAAGGGCAGGAATCTTAGTTGTCTGTGTCCTGAGAGGAAACCACACTGCACAGTGTGAAATTGTCTCACTTCCTCTTCTACAGCACCAAGGCTAAGTAGTATGCTGAGCTGGTGAAGAAGGAATGAAACTTGATTATAACCAATGTGGAGACTGCCCACCATTCTGTCCCTGTACCAGTCCGTCCCTGGGAGATACCAGTGTGTGTGTGTGTGTGTGTGTGTGTGTGTGTGTGTGTGTGTGTGTGTCTGGGAGCGGGGGCAGTGTATTTGGGAGAGCAGAGAATAACCTGTGGGAGTTAGTTCTCTCCTTCTACCATGTGGATCACAGGGATCGAACTCAGATTGTCCAGCAAACACCTTTACCTACTGAGCAATGTCTCTGGCCCTATTTGTTGTTGTTGTTTGCTTGTTTTTGGACAGCATATCATGTAGTTTGGGCTTAGACTCCTGATCCTCCTGCCCCCACCTCCTAAGCACTGGGATTATAGACCTCTGACACTTCCTCCAGCTTTTGGTTTGTTTGTTTGTTTGTTTGTTTTTCGAGACAGGGTTTCTCCGTGTAATAGTACTGGCTGTCCTGGAACTCACTTTGTAGACCAGGCTGGCCTCGAACTCACTGAGATCCACCTGCCTCTGCTTCCCAAGTACTGGGATTAAAGGTGTGGCCCTACCTCCAGCTTTAGAAAAATTTATCACCAACAGATTCCAAGGAGCTATGAGCTAAGAAAGGGAGATATATGTTTTTCAATATTGCTACCAGACTCAGGTTTATCGAGTTGGCAATTAAAAGCCAATATTCCTGGGTCAAGAAAGATGACTTAGAGGGGCTGGAGAGATGGCTCAGTAGTTAAGAGCACTGACTGCTCTTCCAGGGGACCTAAGTTCAATTCCCAGCAACCACGTGGTGGCTCACAACCACCTGTAACAGAATCTAATGACCTCTTCTGGCCTGCAGAGCACTCATACAGAAAATATAAATAAATTAAAAAAAATTATCCAGGAGGTGGTGGCACAAGTTCCAGGACAGGCTCCAAAACTACAGAGAAACCCTGTCTCGAGAAAAAGAAAAAAAGATGACTTAGTTGCTAAGAGCACTGACTGCTGATTCAGAAGATCTGGATTTCATTCCCAGAACCCACATGGCAGCTCACAAATCTGTAACTCCAGTACTACGGAACGAGCCAATGCCCTCTTCTGGCTTCCTTCGGCACACATGTGGTTCATGGACATACATACAAGCAAAACATCCATACACAGGAAGGACGATCAGAAGTCCAAGATCATTCTCACCTCTCTATATGGAGTTCAAGGCCAGTCTGGGCTACAGAAGAACCTGTCCCAAAGATAGGACGACAAGTTTAAGGGCAGGGGAGAAGGCCCAGTTGGTAAAGTGCTGTCAACACAAACATGAGTTCAGAGCCTCAGCAGCTGTGTAAAAGGCCGGCTATGAAGGTGTATCTGTAGTCCTCGCGCTGGAAAAGCAGAACCAGAAGATCCTGGGAGCTCATTGGCCCCTAGCCTAGGCCACTAGGAAGCTACAGGTTCAGTGAGAGACCCTGCCTTGAAAACTAAAGTGGAGAATGACAGAGGACGACAGCTTATTTTCAACATCAACCTCTGCCCTCCACACCTGTATGAATTAACATGGGCTTCCGCACACACATGTTCTTACAAGCAATAGATTAAAAAATATGATAAAACATGAAAACCTTGGCTTTGCATATGGTGAACAAACCCTCTCCCACCGGTATACCAGTCCTTATGACTCTTAGACAAACGTACCATCTCCTTGTAAGTCAAACATTATTCCACTTTTAATTTGATTAAAAAATTTCGAGACAGGGTCTCGCATAGCCCAGGCTGGCCTCAAGCTGTTTATGCTGAGGATGCCGTTCAGTGCCTGATGCTCCCGCCCCTACCTCCTAAGTACTGAAATTACAGGCAGGTAACATCCCAAATGGCTCTACTTGTAATCAAAGAAGATGAGCAAATCATTGGCCAGTGGTTTAATGTTATGTTAAGCCCATCAGAGGCCCTGTGTTCTAGAAGTAAAAGAAGACTTACTGAACTCTTTTTGTTACTTTTGTTGTTGTTGTTGTTTTTAGAGACAGGGTTTTTCTGGGTATCTCTGTCTGTCCTGGAACTCACTCCATAGACCAGGCTGGCCTTGAACTCACAGATATCTGGCTGCTTCTGCTCCCCAAGTGCTGGGATTAAAGACACGTACCACCACCACCCAACTGGCTTACTGAACTCTTAGAAATCTTCATTTGTCTTCTTTTAATTCCTTTTTTGGGGACTACCTAACCTTGCAGTTTAAGATGGGAAAAGAGAACCGAAAGCAATGTTTGCCAAAGAACATTCTTAACCCATTAGGGGATTTTAGTCAAAGGTGATGGGGAAGTTTACAGCAAAGTGGGTGGGAGACTAGTAATACATTGCTCAGGTGCAAGCCTTCCAAACTAATTATATATTTTTTTCAGTAGTGGGAATGGGACCCAGGGTCTTGGACATGTTGGACAAGTGCTCTGTTAATTGAGTTATATTGCTGACTAATTTTTTAAAACTTTGATTTCATAGGGTATGGTGGCTCACACCTTTAATCCCAGCATTTCATAAACTGAGGCAGAAAAATTACTAGTTCAAGGCCAGCCTGAGTTTCAGGTCTTCCTCAGCTACAAAGTCAAACCCTGTTGAAAGAAAAAGAAAAGAAGGAAGGAAGGGTCTGGCAGCGGGGAGAGATAAAAAGAAAATTATTTTGAAACAAGAGTGTCACTAAATTGCCTAGGCTAGCTTTGAATTCATGAGTAGTTAGGGTTCTTTCTTTCTTTCTTTCTTTCTTTCTTTCTTTCTTTCTTATTTCTTTTTCTTTTTTTCTTTCAGATGCGGCATCATATAGGCCCAATCAGCCTCCAGTAGTATGTAGGCTAAAGATGATCTTGAATACCTGATCTTCTTGCCTCTGTATCAGGGTCCCAGACCTTAGTACAACTAACTCCATGACAGAAGTACCATTTGTGCTATAAAACTCAGCACATAGGTGGCACCACCTGCCCAAAGTAAGACAAAAGCTTAATCTATCAAAGCCATCATTCTGAGAAAGTCTCTAAATGTGCTAATCTTGCTTTTTGGCTTCTGTGGTTCTGTTTCTAGCTAACTGTTCTTGTTAACTGAAGTGTGTCGACCCAGAACATGGTTTTTGTGCTTAAAAGCTCACCCTGAGAAAGACTTGGGGCTACACCGAGATCCCAAACACCCAGTGTAGTCAGACACCAGCCGACCAGCTACGAAAGACTTTCTGTTGGCTTATAGCCGTGTCTGAGCCATCTTCTCTGGTGACTATCCCCATACACCTCTACTTCCAGATTTCTACTGTTACAGGTATGGACCATTAAACACAGCTCCAATTAGCTATTTTATTAAATTTCTTGATATACTAGGACATTGTCTAAGACATTAAACTTGCTAGGTAAGTGTTCTGCCACTGAGCTATTGCCCCAGTCCCCACTCCTCTTTCTTTCAAGATAAGGTCTCATTGTAGCCCAGGTTGGTCTAGAACTCAATTTATGTATCTCAGGATGGCCTTAAACTTTCAATCCTCGCGCATCAGACTCCTGAGTCAAGATTATAGTTCTGTGCCAGCAAGACTTTCAAATTAGTGATTGTTAAAGTCAATTAAAAGCAAGTGAAGATGCTGAAGAGATGGTTCATTAATTGAAAGCAAGTACTGTTCTTGACGAGAACTCATGTTGGACAACCTATAATGGCCTGCAATTCCAGCTCTATGAAGAGCTGATACCTTTGGTCCCCTGTGGACACCAGCACTAGCTAGGCAGTGGTAGCACACGCCTTTAGTCCCAGTACTCAGGAGGCAGAGGCAGGCAGATCTCTGTGAGTTCGAGGCCAGCCTGGTCTACAAAGCTAGTTGCAGGACAGGCTCCCAAAAGCTACACAGAAAAACCTGTCTCAAAAAAACAAAAACAAAACAAAACAAAAGTTTAAAGCAAGTGAAGCTAAAAGATTTATTGGCTACAATATCTCAACCATAAAAGGAGAATTCTTGGAAAGGGTTTAAACAGTATGTAGCTTAACAAGAATGAGAGCAGCTGCTGTCTCAGTTTGAACTCTCAGCAGGTACTGGCAGGAAGCTGAGTGTGGTGGCGCACATCTTTAATCCCAGCACCCAGGAGGCAGATGAAGGTGGTTCTCTGAACTCTAGGCCAGCCAGAGCTACATACGGAGACCCCATCTCAAAGTAAACAACAAAAACTCTACAAAGAGATGGGAAGCCGAGTTAGACATGGTAGCAGGGAGGGAGGGAGGGAGAGAGAGAGAGAGAGAGAGAGAGAGAGAGAGAGAGAGAGAGAGAGAGAGAATATCCCTGAATAGCACAGTATACGCTGTCCTTCAAGAGTCAGACCAGCAAGAGGAGTGGTGGCAGACTCTAGGTTCCCCAGGCACTCCGGTTTCCCTTACAGATCATTTTCTTGTGTGTGGGTGGACAGCAGGGATGGGGGCATTCTGTCTCAACAATCACATTTTTTTTTCTTTCTTCTGCAAATGATGCTCGGTGGAAGTGATTCTGAATCTGGTTTCTCTGGCAGTGACAATGGAAGTGCTTCCTGAACTCCTGCATCTAATTCTTTTTTTAATTCTATGTGCTACTTACTGTTTTGCCTGCATGTGTGTCTGTGCACCATGTGTGTGTGTGTGGTCCTGCGGAAGCCAGAAGGAGTCAGAACCCCTGAAACTGGAGTGACAGTCTGTTATGAGCTGCCATGTAGGTGCTGAGAACAGAGCCTGGGTTCTCTGCAAGAGCAATGTTATTTTTATGGAACTGTCTCTTTATTCCTGTCTCTCTCTCTCTCTCTCTCTCTCTCTCTCTCTCTCTCTCTCTCTCTCTCTCTCTCTCTCTCTCTTTCTCTCTCTCTCTCTCTGGCTCTTTTGAGACAGTCTCACTATGTAGCCCAAGCTAGCTTGGAAATCATAGAGACCTGCCTGCCTTTGCCTCCTAACTGCTGACCATGCCCCACTCCTGTTCTGATTCTTAGCCCGGCAAATTAGTATGGCTTGGGGAACAGGGGTGAGGGAAGGAGAACGTACTCCAGGTAGGAGGCATTTGAGCTGCCAAGGACATGATGTTTCTGCTTTCCATTTTACTAATTAGTATATAAGAAAGCTTCCTTTGAAATACAGTTTGATTTATATAAACAAGAGGACTCCAGGAGGAGTTGATAGCCACACCCAGGAAAGAAAGTTTGAGAAATGGCTCCCCTTTCCTTGGACATATGTGGTAGAAACTGTGCAAATCAGCTCCCCCATCTGTGCTAATGTAAGTTGGTAAGTCCTGATTGGACATTATAGTCAGTGAAGCCAAATAATGAATTTTGGTTGCTGGACCTCAATGTTTTGATAGTTGGGACTTGGTGGTCAGTCTCAGGAATGAGTTAGGGATAAGGACCTTGGAGGCTTTAAGAATGTCATCTGATGATTTAGCAAGGGAGTGGGAAGGAGAGTGGGCAAGACCTGCCAGTGCTGTGTTTGCAATGCTTGGGACTGTTTGAGAGCCCTCCCAGGTCTTTAACCCCTCTCCCACGTTCCCAGGAGCTTTGACAGCTGGCTGCCCTCCTGCTAGGCTGCTAAGGAGGTTTGGATGCCGGAGACTTTCTACAGAGGATATGACAAGATGACTTCACAGCAGAAGTCCATCCCCAGCCTCTCCTGTGCAGGGTTCCTGGTGCCTTCCCCTCCTGCCAAAGCTTATGAGCACCTCAGACTTAGGAGGGCTGGGTTCTGGAGACACCTAGGATGGGAGGGTCAGCGGAACACAGAGCACTGACGACTTTACAATCTCCTCTGATAAAGTTGGCAAATCTCTCTTACTATCCTCATTCTACGGAGTAAAAAAAATGGAAGTCTGGAGGAGTGAGTGAAGGGGGTGCGCGAGACATCTTCATCCCCATCATATTCATAGTTTCATCGCGCCAATAACCTTCTAACTACTGGGTACTCAGAGGAAAACCTGAAGTGCTCATGATAACATATGAGCCCCTACTCTTCGCCTTTCCATTTTGCTGACTCCTTTCCCTTCTCTCCCTCTGTGTGTGTGTGTGTGTGTGTGTGTGTGTGTGTGTGTCCCTTTGTCCTGCGTGTTGACCTTTTTTGCTATTGTGTAAAATGTAGGCACAAATTCCAGCATTAGCGGATCTTGCTAGTTCTTTCTTCTGCCAGGAACACTCTTCACTTTTCCTAAAATCTCTCCTTCTTATTGGGGCTTACCCAAATGACCTGTTTCTGATAGGGTTTCAGCATGTGCCTCAGGCTGATCCCGAACTCAAGACAATCCTGCCTCGGTTTCCCAAGTACTGGAATTAAAGGGGTGTGCTACTACGTCTGGTTATTTATTGCCTTTAGACACACCGTTAAAATTTATTTAATTACTTCCCTTCTCTAGACTAGAAACCTGAAAAAGCACAAAAGTAGCGTTATCTTGTTCTCTGGTGTATCCTTGGAACAGTCTGTGATACTTAGCGAGTTCTCAATACTTTCGTACAGATAAAAGGAGTTGGAAGACAGGAACGTTTGGACCAAGGATTAGGAACAATACTTTTGGGCAACAGGGGATCCTGACTGCAGGAGGTGGTGGACTCTGTGAACTACATTTCCCGTGAAGCTCTGCGCGCAGAGCAGCGGAGGCTGCTGGGAAGGGCTTACGTGCCTGAAGCCGGGTCTCCGGGAGCTAGGATGGCGAGTCAGCGAGGTGAGCCGTTGCCCGGTGCTGATTACCTTGGTGGTGGTCGCGTCCTGGGGACTAATCCTGTCAGGACCTTGCAGGTCGCGACCATTCCCGTGGATGCCGGGCAGAGGAGGGGATCTGGAGTGGGGATTGCTACGGGGGGGTCGAAGAGACTAGTGCCCCTGGGTGCGTTTGGATCACTCCGGGACTGACTGACTGCAGAGACAAGTAGTTAGTTCCTTTTCCCTTCCCATCAACTGAACTCAATTCTTCCCCGTGGCAGACAAGATCCGTATCTGCCCGTCTTACAGATGGGAACATTGAGAACTGCAGAAGAGAGGGGTGTCATCCCACAACTCAAAGACTGTTGTGTGACTGCCCTCAGTTAGAATCCCCCTCTCGTTCCTGGTTTCCCAGCACTAGGGTCAGGTCTGAAGAGTAGAGCGGAAGCTGATCTTATGTCTGTGTCCCCAGTGTTCCCACTTTCCTGTGTGGTGCAGCAGTATGCCTGGGGGAAGATGGGCTCCAACAGCGAAGTGGCATGCCTGCTGGCTAGCAGTGACCCACTGGCCCAGATCTCAGAGGACAAGCCGTATGCAGAGGTAAGACCCCAGCTGCATGCACATCAGTCCCCTCTCCCCTAAGTGAGACCCAAGGGGCTGAGACAAGCCATATGGAGAGTTGGGACGAAATCTCTGCAGCCCATAAAAGGTGTTCTCTTGGTTCTCGGACCAGTCAGTGCACAAAGAGAGCTGAGACCACTGTTATCACAGAACTGGGGAGCTGAGTTAGGAGGATCTGCCTGGTCTCTGTATCAAGTCTCAGTCTCATACAAAGGAAGATAAGACGACTGTGATTTTTTTTTTTTTTTTTCTGAGACAGGGTTTCTCTATGTAGTCCTGGCTGTCCTGGAAAGCACTCTGTGGGCTAAGCTGGCCTTGAACTCAGAGATCGCCTGCCTCTGCCTGTCTGCCTCTGCTTTCCTAGTGCTGGGACTAAATAAAGGCGTGCACCACCATGCCCAGCATCTGGGATTTTTTACACCCTAGTGTTACCCTTCTTTCCAGAACAGCTCTCAGCCCTTACTGAGTCTTCATTTGTTTTGATTTTTTTTTTTTTTTTTTTTTGGAAACTGTCTCAGGGTGCCTAAGCTGGCCTCAAACTTGGTGTGGAGTTGAGAATGACTTCGAACTCCCAATCCCCCTGCCTCTACGTCCTAAGTGTCTGGATTACAGACATACAACACCACTCCTAGCCAAAAATAAATGTTTAACTTCGATTAACTTTTCTCTTTAAAATTTATTTTTATAAAAAGTTATTTTTATTATTTTTAATCATGTATAGGTGTGTATGTCTGCATTTGGGTAGGTGCATGTGAGTGCAGGTGCCTGTGCATTGGATCCCCTGGAGGTTGTGAGCCCTACTTGATGTGGGTTCTGGAAACCGACGGGTGGATGCTTTGGAAGAACGGCAAGATCTCTTAACCATTGTGCCATTTCTCCACCTCCCTAATTTTTTTCTTTTTTATTAATCTTAAATTCATTCCTTTTATTGAGAAGGGAAGGGTCACAGCATAGGGGAGTTTTGCCTTTTGAGACTGAAATAAACGAATGTTAACCCTCCACAGAGCTGCCATTGAGACTCATGCCTTCAGAGACATTCAAGTGTCACTCTCCCCATTGGACATATGTGAAGCCCCGGGTTTGATCCCCAGAACCTATAAACCACCGTACTGATACATGCCTCGTACATACAGGGTGTCAGCTGCTTCCTTCTTTCTCAACTTTCCTGTCCTTCTAGCTGTGGATGGGGACGCATCCCCGGGGAGATGCCAGGATCCTTGACAACCGTATTTCCCAGAAGACATTAGGCCAGTGGATTGCCGACAACCAGGACTGCTTAGGCCCAAAGGTCAAAGACACCTTTAATGGCAAGCTGCCCTTCCTCTTCAAAGTGCTCTCTGTGGAAACAGCCCTGTCTATCCAGGCACACCCTAACAAGGTAGAGGAGCAGAGGGTGCAGAGGTCGGGGGAGGACGGTTTTGGTGGGCCTACCCGTAGATTTTACTGCTGCGTTCACCCTGCCTGTACTGGGCTCTAGCTCAGGGCTAAATCCAAGCCTTACTAATCCAGTTTGGCTGCTCAGGGGCAAATGCTGGTGACACATACAGAAGCTATGTCTAAGTGGACAGCTGACTGGCCTATGCTAAGAGAGCTCCTCCAAGTTCATCCTTGGCTTGCCCTCCCCCAGCCTAGGTCTGTTCATATTTGCCATTTCCCCACCTGTCTGTCAATACCAGAATTCCAGGATGGGCAGGCACCCCAGCTGTTGCTTTAGCTACACCCTGCTGTGTAATTTTCTTAAAACAAGACCCAACCTAGTTTGAGCAGTCTGTCTAAACTCTTAATACTTATTTATTTTTATTTTATGTGTATGAGTGTTTTGCCTGCATGTAGGCCTGTGTACTACATGAATCTAGTGTGCAGGGAGACCAGAAGAGGGCATTGGGTCCTCTGAGATTGAATTTATAGATATTCATGAACTACCATGTGGGTACTGGGAATTGAACCCAGGTCTTCTGGAAGAGCAACCAGTACCCTTAACCACTGGGCTATAGCTCCAACACAACCCCTTTTTTAAAAAACTTTTTTTTGTTCGTTTGGGTTTTGAAACAGTGTTTTTCTGTGTAGCCCTGGATCTCTCTCTGTAGACCAGGCTGGCCTTAAACTCAGAGGTCCTCTTGGCTCTGCCTCCCAAGTGCTGGGACTAAAGGTGTGTACCACCACTGCCTGACTTTTTTTTTTTTTTTTGATTTTTCGAGACAGGGTTTCTCTGTAGCTTTGGTGCCCAGAACTAGCTCTTGTAGACCAGGCTGGCCTTGAACTCTCAGAGATCCGCCTGCCTCTGCCTCCTGAGTGCTGGGATTAAAGGCGTGTGCCACCACCGCCCGGCCTTTTTTTTTTTTAATTTTTAAAGATTATTTTATTTCATGTGTATGAGTGTTTGCCTCCATGTATGTAAGTACACCACATGCATGCTTGGTGCCTTTGGAAGTAAGAGGGCATCAGATGCCTGGAACTGGAGATTCAAATGGTTGTGAGCCCACCATGTGGGTGCTAGGGAAGGAACCCAAGTCCTCTGCCAGAGCACCAAGCGCTCTTCACTACTGAGCCATCTCTCCAGTCCCTAATTTTGGAGTTTTTGAAGACAGGTCTTGTGAAGCCCCAGCTGGCTTCAAGCTCAGCATGCAGCTAAGGGTGCCCTAACACTCTAGACACTCCTAGCTCTGCCTCTCCAAAAATCATTTACCCAAGTCACACAGTTCATGCCTGTTGTTTGGAGTTCCTGAGCCACAGGCTGGGTCTCGTAAGTCTATCCCAGCTCTCCCCTGGATTTGTTTGGCTCATTTCTCTACCCTGGGTTGACTGAACCCCTAGTTTCCGCATGATGCCTTGGCTGGGTTCATTGTCAGAGGTAAGAAGCCACTGCCATCTGGCAGCTGGGGCAGGTGGGCAGCAGGGGCTGCAGAGACCATAATCCTGCTGGTGAACGCTGGTTTCCGACTGTCCTCCTCCACTTTTCACCCACAGGAGCTGGCACAGAAGCTGCACCTCCAGGCTCCACAGCACTACCCGGATAACAACCACAAGCCCGAAATGGCCATCGCCCTCACCTCCTTCCAGGGCTTGTGTGGTTTCCGGCCAGTGGAGGAGATTGTGACCTTCCTGAAGAGTAAGGCTGGGCAGGGATGCTGAGGACATGCGTACTGGCTCTGTCTGGGATGAACGTGGACCAAAGGAGAAACAGACAGAGAGCACAGGCTTATTATCATAGGAGCTAAATGGATTTTGGCCTCATGAGGCAGTTTTTGGGGGCAGTGGGCTAAATAGTGAGACCAGGCTCAGGTGTGGTTGCTGAAGGCTGGGGGTGGACACATGTTTCCAAGGCGGGGTTTCTGTAGCATCGCCGGGGCTTTGGTTAGGGATGTGGTGGGAGGCCCTCACTTCTCAGTGTTTTGTCTTATCTTTTCTCTAACATCCCCTTGGCCTGGCCACTCTGCAGAGGTGCCTGAGTTCCAGTCCCTGATTGGAGAGGAGGCCACAGCACAGCTGAAGCAGAGCGTGAGCAGAGATCCTGGGGCTGTGGCCGCTGCTCTGAGGAATTGCTTCTCCCACCTGATGAAGAGTGAGAAGAAGGTGGTGGTGGAGCAGCTTAACCTGTTGGTGAAGCGCATCTCCCAGCAAGGTGGGTGTGGCAGAGGCCTGGGTGGGTGCAGTGTCCTACCCCGGACTCCTGAGAGAGGCATAGATGAGGCCATGGATACAGGGTTCCCAGCCCCATTCCCCAAGTGGAACCTAAAAGGGGCCAAACTTAGATGGGCGCTAAGATCCGCTGCTACCATTCCTTTCCCAGCCTTTGTGGAGTGAGGCCCCAGGTCGAGTGCTACCTTCTAAAAGGTTTCTCCAGGTGGCTGAAAGTGCCCTGGCCTAGCGGATTCTACCAATGCCCTACCCAGGCACTTCCAGATTCTTCCCAGCCCTCCAGCTGCTTCCTGGGGGACAGACTAGCATTTGGGGGACTGAGGATTAGGAAAGGACCAAGGAGCGCACTCTGCTCTAGAGGACTTGAGCTTTGTGCTTTTAATTTAATTCTTCCTTAAAGCCCCCTCCTTGTGCTAACAGGATTCAGGATGTGACCGTGGTGGGCGTGGTTGTGTTACTGTTGTCCTGAGGAGTCAACAGACACTGAGAAAGCAGCCAGGCTGATAGAGTCAGGAGCGTCCGAGGCACTTGTTGAGGTCCTAGCTCCTCTTCTGATAGGCCAGCTCCTTTCCCAGGCCGCCACAGAACCTGCTTCTGGGTCAGTCTTTCCCTAAGTCCCTGCTGTGTTACCTTAGCGCCGCAGCCAGAGCCTCCCTGAGCATAGCCTCTGGTTTTGTGCTGTGGCTTTGAGGGTCTGATCTGCTCACATGCTCTTGGAGAACCCTGACCTCTCTTCTGATACCCAGGTATGCAGTGACCCCTTAGCGTCATGTGCTCACCTGTTAAAACTGGGTTCTCTAGGCCATAGACCTTCATGTTTGTCCCAGTGTTTAGCAGAACAGCCATTGAGCAAGTCTCTGTGTGAAGACTAAGCCACCCTCCCCTTGGAACCTGCTTCCTTTATTGTGGGTCCTGCACACCCTGAATACACTCCTCTCTCCTTTGCATGCTGAGGAAACTCAGCTCACTCTGCCCCTGCACCTGCCCTTCCAAAAACCTCCCTCATGTTTGTAGCCCAGGCTGAGCTCATCTTCCCTTGGTCAGTCTCCAGGGTACATTTTGGCCCACAGCACATTGTGCCTTGTGCTCTCTGCGGTACAGCCATCCCAGTTCGCCTAAGATGGGCAGATTTCCTGAGACATGGGACTTTCAGTGCTAACAAAGGGGGAGTTCTTGGCCAATAGGGAGTTTGGCACTCTTCATGAAGGTTAGGGGTTATCCATTGATCTAAAATAGATTTTGAGCTCAAGAGCAGTGAGTGGTCCCTAACCAGGAGACTCTTTGAGGGGGCAATTGTCTGGAGATGTTTTTGTCAAAATCTGAACTGGAGATACTTGTGGTATCTGCCTTGTAAGTATTTCTCATACAATTTTATCTCCCACCTCTCTTTGAAACAAGGTTTCTCATAACCAAAGCCAGCCTTAGACTCATTAGGTACATCCTGACACTCCTGCTCCTACTTCTCGGGTGGTGCTGGGATTACAGGCACGAGTTGTCATGTCTGTGTTCTTGTGGATCCAGGACCAAGCCTAGGGCTTCATGCATGCTGGGTAAGCAAGCACCCTACCAACTGAGCTGCGTCCCTAGCCTGTACCATGTGAGACAGGGTCTGACTCAGCAGTCCAGGCTGTGTTAGTGAAGGCCCAGACTACCCTTCACTCATGGTGATTCTTCTGCTTTGGTGCTAGGATGATGGCTGTGCACCACAATGCCCACCCAGCTGCTGTAGCCAGGCTAGGCATGCAGATGGTTGAGGCGAGAGATGGCATTTTTGTGAGCAGAAAGGCCAAGGATGACTGAATATCAAAGATTTTAGGAGAGGCCCGGGGCAGGGACTGTTCCTAAGACTCCCTCATCAGGGTGAAGCCGTGACTACCACATGTGTCTTAGTGGCCTTGGGATGCTCTGTGACCCTCAGTATCTGCCGGAAACAGCATGGACGACATTTGTGGGAAGCTCTTGCTGCAGCTGCACCAGCAGTACCCAGGTGATATCGGATGTTTCGCCATTTACTTCCTGAACCTGCTCAACTTGAAGCCGGGGGAAGCCATGTTTCTGGAGGCCAATGTGCCCCATGCCTATCTGAAGGGAGGTGAGCCCCATTTCAGTCGTATGCTCCACTGCTATCCCCTGTGGACCTTGTTTCTTTGTGTGGATGAAAGAGAGGATGGTTGGTGAGGCCTTCTGTAAGCACAGGCCAGCCTCTGACTCCAAGGGTGGTTGAGCCAATGTGGATGGTGGCTGCCAGCCGGATGGTAGACATTGCTTAAAATGTGCTAGCAGGGGCTGGAGAGATGGCTCAGTGGTTAAGAGCATTGCCTGCTCTTCCAAAGGTCCTGAGTTCAATTCCCAGCAACCACATGGTGGCTCACAACCATCTGTAATGAGGTCTGGTGCCCTCTTCTGGCCTGCAGACATACACACGGACAGAATATTGTATACATAATAAATAAATAAATATTTTTTAAAAAAAGATTTTATTATTTATTTTATGTATACAAGTGCTCTATCTAAATGTATGCCTTTATTCCAGAAGAGGAATAAAGATCACACCATAGATGATGGGAGCCACCATGCAGTTGCTGAAAATCTAACTCAGGACCTCTGGAAGAGCAGCCAGTGCTCTTAAGCACTGAGCCATCTCTTCAGCCCCATACTATACACCAGTTTTAATATGTGGCTTTGGCATTTGAACTCAGGTCCTCATGTTTGCATGGCAAGTGGTTTTACCCACTTTGACCACCCTTTTTGTTGCTTTTCTTATTTTGAGACAGGGTCTCACTCTGTAGCCCAGGCTGGCCTCAAACTCGTGGCAGCCCTTCTACTTCATTCAGCCTTGCGAGTGCTGTGATTATAGGCATAAGCCACCAGGTCTAACTGGTGTCCCATCTGACTGTTGACAGCTTATCCACTCACAGGATTCTGTTGTAGAAGTGTAAGAGAAGTCATGTTAACATGGGGGTTAACATAATTTTGATGCCTATTACCTTCATCATATTCTCCTACAATTCTCTTCACACATTTTTACCTAATTTATAGGGCATGCGTATGGCCTAAGTTAGGAGGCCCAGCCCTGGAGAGCCCCTCTTAGCACATGACATTTATCTGTCCTCAGACTGTGTGGAGTGCATGGCATGTTCAGACAATACTGTGCGTGCTGGCCTGACGCCCAAATTCATTGATGTGCCAACCCTGTGTGAAATGCTTAACTACACACCTAGCCCCAGCAAGGACAGGCTGTTTGCCCCAACACGGAGTCAAGATGACCCCTATCTCTCTATCTATGACCCCCCTGTGCCGGACTTCACTGTTATGAAGATGGAGGTGAGTACGTGGGCCAGGTGGGTATCCTTTGTGTAGCATGTCAAACCTACAGGGGTATACTTGGGGCTGGATTTCCTATCAAGCAACCTAGTATGGGCAGCCACAGAGGCCATCTACTTCTCTGCCAGGGACCAGATGTGGGTCTCCATGGTGACGAGAGCTGCTCTTGAGGTGCTCTGGAACCCAGGGGCAGAGTGTAAACTCTTGTATCACTTCTCTCTACCAGGTCCCTGGCTCTGTCACTGAATACAGGGTCTTGGCAGTAGACTCTGCCAGCATCCTTCTCATGGTCCAAGGGACAGTGACAGCTACCACACCTACAGTTCAAGCAGAAATCCCTTTGCAGCGTGGTGGAGTGCTCTTCATTGGGGCCAATGAGAGTGTCTCGCTGAAGCTTACCGTGCCCAAGGATCTGCTCATCTTCCGGGCCTGCTGTCTGTTGTAGAGGACAGTCTTCTACCCTCTCTGCCTGTCACCATATCCTGGCCAGCTCCAACCCCGGTCCCTGTTGTGACTCTTTGGTGCATGCTGGAATGGTAGAGTAGTGAGCGTGGCTTTAGTGACTCCAGAGCATGCCCAGGTTGACCATCTCCAGGATGAGGGGTCTGTGTGAAGACTGAGACCTACCACTCCACGGTACTCTCAACACTCCTTACTACCTCTGAGTCAGATGTGTCCATTCAGGAGGCAACAGCTGTGCCCCAGCTAAGGCATTAGGCTAACAAAACATGCATGACCCAGCATTAGGTCAGCATCCATCTGAATGACAGATGAGGCGATGTCTTAAGAACAGGCTTCTTGCCCTGGGACTGCCTGCTCTCTCAGCTGCAGAGAGGGAAGGGACAGGCCAGAAGACTAATGCTCTTACTCCCTCCAGCTCTGTCAAAGTAATTAAAGATCACTTGTGTTGAGGATACAGACTAAAGAGCAGTCAGACTTCGGTATTCCTGCCCCTGATGTGGGCGGAAAGAGTTCTCTGATGTTGTCCAATTTTGGTTTTAATTCTGCTTCATACAACTTCCTGGGGGTGGGCAGGCTGGATTCCAGAACCCTTTTATAGGAAGGGGTAGGAGAGGAAGCCAGCCTCGCCTAGCTGCACAGCTTGCAGGCAGGCTGTGGCCCTGCTTCTAGTGAACCTGTTTGGAGATTGTCTTGCCATGTTGCAAAGGTTGGTTTTGAAGTTGTGCTTCTGTCTCGGCTGTATTATGGCTTCTGGTGTTTGCACATGTTTATGTATGTGCACATGTTTATGTATGTGCACATGTAGCTCAATGTTATTCCTCAAGAGTCAGCCACCTTTTTTCCTTTTTGTTTTTGAGACAAAGAGTTTCTCACTGGAACGCACTAGTTCAGCTAGGCTGACTAGCTAGAAAGCCTCAGTGAGCCTCGTGGCTCAGCCTCCCCAGAACTGGGATTACAGGTATGTGCCACTACCACTGCTGGCTTCTTATTTGGGTGCTTGTGGTAGAGAGGTTAGGGATCCAAACTCAGGTTCTCATGTTTGCACAGTAATCTCTTTACCAACTGACCCACCCCTAGTCCCTTTTAGGTATTTTTGAGGTTCTCATTTAGCTCAGGCTAGTGTTATGTATTGGGGGCTAGAGAGATGACTCAGCAGTTAAAAATATTTATAGAGAACCCAGGTTTGGTTCCCAGCTCCCATATGAGTTCCAGGATAGCCAGAGCTACACAGACAAGTAAGTACTCCCCTCACCCCTCAAAAAAACCCCAATGCAACACAATACAGACCAACTGCCATGATTGCATTTATTATAACAGGCTGTAGAAGTATAAGCCAAGAGGTCTGTAGAGCAGAGGTCTGTAAACATCAGATGGATGCACTCCTTCCCAGGACTGCCACCTGCAGGACACCCAGCACTCTGAATCTGGGCACCAGTGTGCCTTTATTGATATTACTTTCATCTAGCCCCTAACAATGGACCATTTCTACCCTTCCCAACTGAACATTATCGCCTGCAACACATCCCTGAGCTTCTGCCACAAAGTAATGCTTTCTCATGTAAGACCACCCAGCTCTACACTTCCCTTCCAGGAGCTGGTCCAGCCAAGTATCAATGTTGATCACAGGAAGAACTACCCCAGAGGGTGTGGTTTGGGGGTTGCCGAATGTCCAAACTACTCCGTCTTAACCAAATCCCAACAGAAATAGGGCTCCACATCTAAGTTCCACAACCATTTGTAGCCCTCACAGCCATCCCATCAAGTCTTTGTCTCCACTGCACTACATCTATTCCCTTCCCACAAGTGCTTCATTTCTGCAGTTACAGAAGGTCTCGATACGGTCTGCTCCCTCCCTGCAGGCTTTACATAAGGTGCTCAGAATGTGAGATGCCTGCGTTGGGTTGCAGAGTCCCACCGCAGCACACAAGCAGCCACTATAACCCAGTCCCAAAAGCCAAGCAGATGGCCTCTAGTTTCGCCCCCATCTTCCCTCCTGGGATGCTGCTAGACAACTGAGTAAAAAGCACCCAAGCTTCAGTCTTCAGTGGCCTGAGAAGAAAAGCCTGTCAGGTACTAGCAGGCTTGTGGCCAAGTAACAGGGAAGGCCTTTTCTTTTGATCTTATCCTTTCTGCTACCACTTGTAGAATGGCCACAAGGGCCCATCATTCCTTATAAACCTCTAGTAGCCACTGGACATGACAGTCACATGTGTGCCCAACCCCTAATTCTGACTGTTGTGCCCTTTGTACTGGGAACCCTGTCCACTCCAAGTCTCACCATACACCTGGGTTAAGGTAAAAGGTAGGGAAGAGGGTCCTGGAAAACTGAGTTCCAGAAAGGCTTGGTATCACAAGAGAAATTATCCCTGTGTTGGCTATGCTCACCCCCAGGTTAGCTGTGCTCCATGCCCTCACCCCCTCAGTGTGGGACTTGAACCCAGACATTGCACATGCTAGGCAATCTGCTTGAGCTGTTGCTCCAGCCTGCGAGCCTGTGCTGGGGCAGAGGAATGTGCCGTAGGAATAAACCTTGTTAGAAGAGGGAAGTCCCCCTTGCACTGCAAATTGATCTATCTCAAGTGAGGTCCAGGAGACTTAGGTCTCCTCCCCAACCTGTCTGAACATTTCCATGTAGGCCAAAGCCACATAGCTACACCAGGACATTATTCTCACTCAAAAGCTTAAAAAGTTAAACCCAGAAAGGCACTTACTGCCCAGCAGCTCCCTCTGCCGGTAATCACAAAACTGCAGGTTTCTGGTGCCAGCCACAGGAGCCAGTCCAACTAATAATTCAAAAACAAACAAACAAAAATAAAACAGGTAGAAAAACTAATCAAGGAACTACAGATAAATGAACATACACAAAGCAGTTTCCTTTTAACCAGGGAAGGGCTGATCAGTTACTAAACACATCCAGGCAGCAGGACCAGTAGGATGTTTCAAGTTCAGAAAGCCACAATCCTGCATCATCATTAAGCTATATTCCTTGCTGTAACTAGACAGATGTAACCTGAAGTAACAACCCACTTAGTGCTTTCTTCAAGGTCAAACCTGTTAACTGACCTTAGAGCTGGAACAAGAAAAACAGAATTTCATGACTTGGTCTCAGTTATATTCTTTCAGATACCTATTGCAGGCCATAAAGTGCTGTTTTCTGCCTCCTACCATACCACCCACCAGAGCCTGGGCAGGGGAGCTCTTTCTTTCCCTTCTCAGAACACCCCGACAAACACCAGTCAGAACGTCTGCAAATGGGTTCTCAGCAATCCTTGTCAGTAGCATAAGAACCACAGAAAGTCTCTACTCCTGCCCTTACTGACATGGCTTCCTGAAACTGCCCAACAGAGAACTGCAGACTTTCACCTGTTGCCTATGACCCAGGCGGGGGCTTCTGACAGGAGAAGCACTAGGCGAGGGCTTGCCTGTAGGTCAGCGGCCAGCCCAGAAGGTCGGTGAGTCCAGTGATTCTAGGCTGGCAGCAGTGCCCAGTGCACCGAGCTGTGAGAGGCCATTAGGGCTCTGTAGGCCTCATGATAAGCAGGGCCCGTCCTGGAGGGTTATGGCTACTGGAGGGTACAGGAAGAATCCCCAAGGCAGCACCAGCAGCAAGAACATGAGGAAGAGGCAATAGGCTTAGGGGGAATGAGGTCCAGGTCCTCGTCATCTGGAATCTCATCCAGGTGATATCCATCCTGCAGCAGCTGCCGGCTCACATCCTGGTTCACCTGCTAAAGGAAGAGGAGAGAACTATAAACCAGGATGCAAAGCATGCAGAGCGGCTGCCCAAAGGCAGGTCCCTGTCACCACTCCTGAGCTTCCTGTCCCTGCTCCACTAGCCCCAGGCCAACTCCACATCCTGGATTACAAAGGAAGCATCACTTATGTCCAGCTGTGCCTTTCCAGCAGCAAACTCCCTAGAGGGTTATTGAAAACTATCCAGGCTTCACATTAAAAAATCACTGTATTGAGCCGAGTAGTGGTGGCACATGCCTTTAATCCCAGCCAGGGAGGCAGAGGCAGCAGGCAGATGGATCTCAGTGAGTTTGATGCCAGCTTGGTCTACAGGGCAAGATCCAGGACAGTCAGGGTTGTTATACAGAGAAACCTTGTCTCAAAAAACAAACACCCCAAAACTATTATACTGACTTTTCCCATGGGAAACCCAGATATCCCTGTCAAGATTAAATACTGTGCTGTCCTGTGTGGTGGCTCATGCCTTTGGTTCCAGCTCTTGGGAGACAGAGGCAGGCAGATCTGTGAGTTCAAGGCCTGCCTGTCTACATAGTGAGTATGACAACCAGGTCATATAGAGAGGAAACTATCTCCAATAAATAAATAAAAAGGAAGGAAAAATAAATATGGGGCTGATAACAGAAAAATGGGCTTGAGTATTAAAGGTATGTGCGGTACAGTGGAAAGGGGTAGGGAGCAACTCTGTCTGCACTGCCAGTTCCTATTACCTTCTCTGCTGGCAGAGCTGCTAAGTCCAACAGTCAGCCTGATTTCACCAGGGTACTGGCAGGCAAAATGTCAATCAGGCTAGGAAAATTTAAGACTTGGAATTCTTGGTGGAGTTTTCTTAGTGGCTTTTTTTTTTTTTTTTTTTTTTTTGAGACAAGGGTTTTTTGTGTAGCTCTGGCTATACTGGAACTCACTCTGTAGACCAGGCTGGTCTCGAACTCACAGAGATCCACCTGCCTCTGCCTCTCCAAGTGCTGGGATTAAAGGCATGTGCCATCACCACTTGACAAATTTTCTTAATTTTAATAATTTTAGTGTCTAGACATATAAGGAGGGTACACTGTGTAAACTGTGCAAAAATTAAGAAATTAGCCAAAGATTCCTTGGAGAATAAGGAAGAAAGACCTAGTACAGTCATGTTCCCACTTCTGCTTCTTTATGCTTGTACCGGCACATGCTATCCTATGCGCCAGCTATGCATGGCTGAGACTTTTCTGACCTGTGTTTATCCCTGTGTTTATCATTCTTGAAAGGTGTCTAAAAGACCAGCCCGGGAGGTGTGCTCAGAACTGCCCAGAGACGAACTAAAGAAAGCAGGCTCAGTGGAAGATGGGTAAGGGAGGGTTGACTGCTGACCTGGTGATAGGGTGACATGAGTTACTGTGTGACATTGGAAGGCAGACCTATGACCAGTGGGTCCAGGCTGCAAGAAACAGGAAGACCTACAAGCTAACTAAAGAAGGAGTTGTATGTTTGCTGGGGGAGGGCAGCAAGCAATGCTTTTCGGATGTAAAGAGTACCCAATCACAGGAAGCATCCCAGCACAAAGAAGCTAGTAAACACTTAGCTGGAATTTATCAAGAGGGTTTCTAGATTATGGACTCTTGAGATCACGTCTAGCCCTGAGGCTATAGAGTCTCCTGAATTTTCAACAGCTCTCCTCCTAAGACACCAGCTATCTCTGCTAAGGGAAGAGGGCATAGTGGAAGACTAGAGAACAGACTAGAACCTAGCACAGCGCTGTGACGCTGCTTGCAGCCTAGCACTGCACAGATAGGCGCTCTGGACTTGCCTCTGCAGAGGAATACCCGGAGGAGTATCTGGATTCCAGCTCCCCATCACTAGGAGAAGAGGAAGACAATCAGTTCAGGGGACATCTATGGAGCACAGCTGCAAATGGCAAGGAGGACATGCAAGGGGGCTGAAGGACTTGTGAAGCAAAGACCGCACACCATAGAGCTCAAGCCCAGAGTCTCCAGTGAGTACTGATGGCTCTACTCCCTCAGTTGACTTCAGCAGAAACAGTCATTCTCACTAAAGTGCAGGCACCATAGGACAGGGTGACCCTTCCAGCCCTGCCATCCCTAGAAGGGACAGCACTCAGAAGAGAAAGCCCGGAATGTGCATGAAGGGCACTGGAGGAGATAGGCAACAGGCAAGGGCACCAAGCAATCTGCAGTGCTATCCAAATCACTCCCCGGCGGTTTCCAAGGAAACTACTCACCTGTCAGAGTCAAGGGACACCAGGTTTTCATCTGGACTCTGGCTAAGAGCAGTATAGCCCTTGTTAAACTTCACTGACCTGGGGAGAGATAGGGAGGGGAAGAAAGCACAGGCATTTCACAGGGAAGACCATTCCAGACTTCCCTCTACCCGGCCACAGCCATCACAGCCTAATGCTCTATGCAGGTGGCTCTGGCTCCTCAAATTATGTGCTAACCCACTCTACTCCACTGATAGCTCCTAAGAAAAATACATCTCCCTCCTTTGAAGCAGGTAAAGCAGCTTTTCTCCACCTTATTTAACCAGAGGAGCTTAGGCAAATCCCTTGACATTTGAGTTTCAACATTCAGCTGCAAACAGCCATACTATGTGAGGTCTTATTAGCTCCGAGAGCGTCCCATTCTATAAAAACAAAACAAAACAAGCACAAAACCCAAAACACTGCACAGGTCATTCTCATCTCCGCTCCTGGGACTTCAGCCACCATCTCTTCCCTTAATGAATTATCCTATTTCAAAGCCTATTGCATGATACTAGCACGGTCTTAAAGAAGAGTAGAGGTAGTTCCAGTCCCCATTCTTAAGGTGAACCTGTCAGCAGACTAGCTAACTCAACCCTAAACTTCAGCGCCCTGTTTCCGGGGCAGGGGGCTTTTAAAGGCCTTCTTTGGAAGCTTCTGACAAAGAGGATGTGAAGCCCACTGAGACCTTTTTCCTGAAGAATCGGGGCGGTTCGGTAAGGCCCCCAGCATGCCCTTTCTCCGTAGAACGGCCTTGGCCAGGTCCCGGTGCTTCTCTGGAAGTCAAAAGGTCCTGGGTCAGCCGGGTCTTCCCTATTCTGCTGCTTCCCGGGGTCTCGGCGGCGGGAGAGGGCTGGACCTTATACCCCTTCCCCTCTGGGGACTAGATCATGGGACTTTGGGGCCCAACCCTTGGCCACAGCAGCCCGCTTCGGCAGAGGCCCTCATGCATCCAGGCACACTCACGAAGCTTAGCCTGAATGGAAGGTGCGCGCGTCACCATGTATGGTCCCCGTTTCTCCATAGCGGCCGGCGGGCGTTCCCCGAGCCGGAGGGCCGCGCCGCCGCTCCGTCCGGAGGGCAGTCCTGCAGCTCTTGCCGCGCCGTCTGGGGCCGCGCCAGGCCTGGGTCCCTGGGTGGACATCCGCACCGCGTGCCCCTGGGGCTCTGAGGCCGCCATGGCCCGCCCCGCCCAGCCAGCGGCCAGGCCGGCGTGGAAAGAACGAACCGCGGGGCGTGCACTCCTTTAGTAAGATGGTGGCACACCGGCTCGGGCTTCTCTTTGCGCCTTCCCCCGCGGCCTGCAGTGGGGCGAGCATCAAGGTTCCGCCCCGACTGTCAGGCGCGGGGCAGCCCAGGTCCTGCCTTCCAGGTACTCTGAAACCCGAAGTTTATTTAAGCTTGATGATGTGGAGGATTTTAATTCAATCTGTAGTCTAATTAAATGACATTTATATATGGCGGTAGGTGTGTGCCTCGAATGCCTCTTTCGCCTCTCCTTTAGGGGTAATACAGGAGGGGTCGGACTGAAATGAAGGGGCAACAGCACCCTTCTCTAGAAAAGGGGTCAGGGTCCGTTGAGGGATATTTGATCACATTGTGAACCCCGAGTTTGCGTTAATTAAAAACCTTGGGTCAAGAGGCAGAGCCAGCAACTAGTAGATAGGAAGTAGTTATAGTTAGAGGGAGTCAGGAAAACGAATAGAGAAGCACACAGGAAGTAATGAGAGTAACGGTCTACTTTAGCAAGAGAGAGTCTATTTTGCTTGGTCACCAGCTAAGAAGGAAGGCCAGCTGGCACATTTTTACCCCAGCATCTGACTTCCTAGTCTTTATTGGTAAAATAGAAAGGTAAAGACTTAGTTAAAAACTACATTTGGCTGCAGTGGCAGAGGTGGTTCTGGTGGACCTCGGCCTGAACAGCGAGTCCTGTCAGTAGCTGAAACAGTAGTAGATTCAGGAGCAGCCGCTGTACCAACGATAAAGCAAGGTTTGGTACAATCACACGACAGAAATCACATCAGGGACTGAAAAACTGAGAAGTCATCAGATTTGGTGAGACACCTGGGAAGTCCTTAAGGACTTAAACAATTTTTAAAAATACAATCTTTCCCGCATTAATGATGGACAATATAACAATACAGGAAATCAAGACCCTGTATAGTACTACTAAGGATGACTTGAAAATGGAAACAATAAATAAGGAGTTGAAGGATTTAGCTGGGACTGACATAATACCGACTTTAACTATTATCAGTCTGGTAATTCGTATTTTATTCTTAATAGTCACAGTGTTGTTTGTGTGTGTGTGTGTGTGTGTGTGTGTGTGTGTGCGCGCGCGCGCCAAACAGAAAAAAAGGCTTGCTAATTGTGCCAAATACAAGCCTTAGAAAAACTTACTAGTGAAAATGAGAAAAATTTGACTGGTAAGATATAAGCCTTAGAAAGACTTATTAATGAAAATAAGCAATATCCTCAGACACAGACAGAGGAATTTAGACAAGAGCCTTCTGTGCTGCCACATGATGAAATTGAAGAGGGATGGCCCAAAGGTATTACAAAACCAACCTTATTATGGAAAAGTTAAATGTAATCCCATAGAAATACTAGGTTTGAGGAGACTTATGGAAGATGTTTCATATGGTATGCATTCACTCTATGTGAGGCTGATTTTAAATTCATGGGCAACTCAGAACAGAATTATCCCTCAAGACTGGAAAGAGTTGGCATCAATAACATTGGAATCTGATCCTTAGTTACAATGGCATGTATGGTGGAAAGAGGAAACTAGGGCCATAGAAGAACAAAATAGGGCAAGAGGTATTAATATCTCCTAAAATCAATTGCTAAGTGAAGGCCAGTATGCTGAATTGCAAATGCAATTTGAATTTGATGACCACACCTTGCTGCTATGTCAGTTCGCATCCTTAAATGCTTGGAACAACGTTAAAGGACTAGAAATGAGTTCTGATCATTAGCTAAAATTATTCAAGGCACAAAAGAAGCCTTCACTGATTTTTTGCAAAGATTGACATCAGCTGTATATAGAATAGCACAGATTCAGAAGTCAGACAAATATTAATCAAATCTTTGGCTTTTGAAAATGCCAACTCTGAATGCAAAAAGATAGTCAGTCCTCTAAAGGCAAGATCTCCACCAATAGACGAATGGATTTGAAATACAGCTGATATTGGATCTTATACTTATGATACAACTTTAATCGAAGTAATCTCTAAAGGTTTTAAGAAAAGACACTGTCAAATGTCTTGGCTGTGGCAAGCAAGGTCATTTCAGAAGGGATTATAGGAAAGGCATTCCTAGAAACAACTTTTTTTTTTCTAGAGATAATTCAAAAAGAAGGTCCCTGCCCTCTGGGGTGTGCAGAAGATGTGGCAAAGACTGATGTTGGACTAATGAATGCAGATGAACAAGGTGAAATAAAAGTTTTTTGCATTTTACAACATATTACAGGTGTATCACACAATCCTACAGAACAAAGCAGTTACAGAAAGATCTAACCATACTTTAAAAGATATGCTTATTAAACAGAAAGGGGTAACAGAGACCCCCTCAGAGATAGATTACACAGTGCTTTATTAACTTTTTAAATTTTTAAAATGCTGATGAGCAAAACAACAGCTTCTGAGAAACATTAGATTTGGGGGGGAAAAAAACTTCTAAATTAAACCAGCCTATATATTCTAAGGCTGTCTTAACTTCAGAATGGAAGTCAGGAAATGTATTGTGTTGGGAGAGATGTTATGCCCTTTTGTTTTCACAGGAAATGAAAAGCTATGAATTCCTTCAAATTTAATAAATATTGGATTTAACTGGGAGAGCCCTCCTGAAAATCTTGGCTTCAGACATGAAGGAAGAAACCAAGAAAAACTACAAGATAGCTGATCCCTCTACATGGGAAGAGCTCTGAGAGTGGATGAGACAGGATAAATCTTGTTGGCTACAGAGTTCTCATGAATTATTATTAGATGCCATCCTTTCACATGGCATGGATAGATTACATCACAGTTTGATTATGCAGTTCAAACGGACTTAGGGAGTTGACAGATGCCTTTTACCTGCTCAAAGATAAAGCAGAGAATCATATTTAGCTAATTTATGTATACCACATAGTCCATACTTGTGTTAATGCAGATATGTATGTTACCTTTAAAAGTTTGTATGTTTTTAGAACAAATGAACCAGATACCAATGAAGACAAGTAGCCCAGGTGATCCAGCCTCTCAGAGTGCTTCCATTGTTGTTTCCTTAAAAATCTGCATCCAGGATAACTTCAAAGCTGCTAGATGAGATGGGCCAGCCTCACAGATGGCTCCAGCCAGGGCTTCAGTTAAGCTTTACACCTTCCCATCACACAGAGACTGGACAATAAATAATACAGCTACCTCTCCCAGGACTTGAACATTACCTCAGTTTTCTCAAGGACCCCTACGATGCTGTCACCTCCAGATAGCAGGAAGCAATTTTAAGAACACAAAGACCACATTCCTAAGAAATGGGGTGGGTGAGTATTGGTCGTTCAATGGGTTATGGATATTTGTCATAATTTAGGGGGGTTGGTTGCAATTTGTTACTGGCCATGGTCAGGGAGGAAACTAAGCAAAGGTTAGGTTCAGAGATTTCGTTCTTTTTCTTTCCTCTGTCCTTCTTTCTCTCTTATCTAGTGTTGAAAATGGGATGGGGGATGAAAAGAAAAAAGGGGGGATATAGCAACTATAGGATAAAAGGGTAGATTATTAAATCTACTTTTAAACTAAAAAGCAACTCCTAGTCTCAAATATTTTACATTGGTATGAATTTTTGTATATTGATACACATTTAAGGTTATTTTTGTTATAACATACTGTATATATGTTTCTACTCTTGTTTAAGGTATTATACTTCAGCAACTCTTTTAAAAATGTAAAGTTCTCAGAGGCAGGTGGATCTCTGTGAGTTCGAGGCCAGCCTGGTCTACAAGAGCTAGTTCCAGGACAGGCACCAAAAAAGCTACGGAGAAACCCTGTCTCAAAAATCAAAAAAAAAAAAAAAATGTAAATTTCTTTTTAAAAATTTTTTTAGTACTTTATTTACCTTTGTTTTATGTGCATTGGTGTGAGGGTGTAAGATTCCCTGGAACTGGGGTTACAGACAGTTGCAAGCTGCCATGTGGGTGCTGGGAGTTGAACCCAGGTCCTCTTAACCACTAAGCCGAATTTCCAGCTCTGTAATATAATAAAGTCCTAGTTATTTTTTTTTAATTTATTTATTATGTATATAGGGTTCAGGGTACCAGATCTCATTATAGATGGCTGTGAGCCATCATGTGGTTGCTGGGAATTGAACTCAGGACCTCCAGAACAGCAGTCAGTTCTCTTAACCTTTGAGCCATATCTCCAGCCCTAAAGTCCTAGTTCTTGAAAGCTACTAATACAAACTGTTTAGGATAACTAAGAAATACAGGTTAGTAGTTAGTCATCTGTAACAAACTTGTAGTCAGGTATGTTTTCAAGGTCAAACCGAGATATGTTTTAGGCGGATGATCTTCAAACACTTCAGAGATCTATAGAATATGGCATTTAAGGTGTTTTCATAACATGATAGTGAGATACGTCTGCTCCTTGTAGCACCTAATCTACTTCAAAAAAGATGATGGGTATTGAAGAACCTCCATATGGAGTTTGCTTTAAATATAACAAAGCTAGTCACTGGCAAGAAACTGCCCTTTCTTCAACTGCTGACAGTATGCTGTCCAAATAGGACAAGCAGGACACAAAAGAAAGTGACTGTCAAACTTTGCCAAGACAAGTAGGCCAATCCTTCAAAATTCCACTTCACACTGTAGGCCAAAGATGGATGCCCTAACATTGCAGAGGAACCTTGGGTGACTATCCAGGTAGCCAGCTGTATCTGTCATTTCTCTAATTTTGGAAGGTGCTTGCTCTGCCCTTCCTGTTTATTCAGGTAATATTTTATCCTTCTCAGGTCTCTGAGGGGTTGAAAACTAGATAGTTATAGTTTTACAGTTTTCCTTGTTACCAATTTTAAAAAAGAAACAAAAGAGATGTAAAGTTTATAAAGGTTGATAGGCATAAAAGCTTGTTTATCTAAGAAAATGTTTTAAGGTCTAAAAAGATATTTTTAGCTTGTAATACAAGTTATGATAAAAAGTGATTAAGGTACAAAACTTTGGACTGGTCAAGATAGAATAGATAATAGATAATAATTCTCCATAGTTGCTAAATACAAATGGACTGGTCATTTTGAGTGTAATTTTTATCTGATAGTTGTCCTTATTGTATATAGTTTTACTGAGTTATAGTTAAAATCTTTCCTTTTTATTTAGCTAAAAAGGAGACAATATTGCAGAGTATTTGATCACATTGTGAATCCCCCAGTTTTCATTAATTAAATAAAACCTTGGGTCAAGTGGTGGAGGCAGCAACTATTGACAGGAAGTAGTTATAGAGAGTTACAGGGAGTCAGGAAAACAAGTAGAGATATACACAGGAAGTAGTAGGGAGGGTCTTTGAGTATGGTGGTCTTTTTTTGTTTGGGATGATGGAAAAGAGTACTTCATTCTTGGTCACTAGCTAAGTAGGAAGGTCAGCTGAGTCTTTATTGATAAAATAGAAGGATAGAGACTTAGTTAAAATGGTCGGCAGTGGCAGAGATGGTTCTGGTGGGACACAGAAGTCCTGCTAGGCAGGGCAGTGACCATGGAGCTACAGTAGGTAGCTTGAAACTGCAGTAGATTCAGGTGCAGTCGCTGTACGAATGATAAAATGAACAAGGATCTACCATGGCATCCTACCCAAGGCCCACCATTTTTTTGAACACTTTTCCTGCCAGAGACCTTGGCCACAGGCATGTTTCCACACTTAAAAACAATCTTAGGGCTGGAAGTAGAGCCGGTGGTAAAGTCCTTGCCTGGAATGCACATGGCTTTTGTTTATTTGGGGAGGGGCTACATATCTCTAACACAACAAAGATGACGTGAAGCTAGACATGAAGGTACACACGTACAAGCCCAGGACTTGGAGGTGGAGGCCAGAGTTCCAGACAAGTCTGGTCTGTTAGTCCTTGTCTTTTAAAAAGAACAAAGATTCTGTAGTAACAAAAATAACTCAGACGCTAGAAAGCAGGGTGAAAGTGCACTCTTGAGTCTGTGTGTGGCAGGGTACAAGGCTGTGTCAAGACTTGACTTTTCTAGCCCCCAAGGGATGTGCTTTAGTCTGGCTGGAAATAAGCTCCAGATCCTTGCAGAAATGGCCAAATATGAGACTGTTCCACAATTAGCATAGCTCACAGGGTGGGCCAGTACTGTGCAAAAAATGATGGGTAGGAAAAAAGAAAGGATTTGCGACTAAAGTTTTTTTGAGGAAAAAAAAAAGTCAAACTCAATGGAGTCTGTTACTTCGGTGAGTTCCACCCTTCTACTATTTGTTGGACTTGTTTTCTTTTTAGGCAGATTCAAGACTGGCCTTGAATTCAGAATACTCTATCCTTGGTTTCTCAGGTACTGGAATTACAGGTTTGCACTACCATGCCTAGCTATTGGTATTGTCTACTTCCAGAAACACATGACTCGGTTTAATGTTCAGTTTTCATGTTGAAAAGAAGCTATTAGTTGCTCCTTTTATACAATGGCACAGCTGGATGTGGTGGTACATGCCTATAAGTCCAGCACTCAGGGGGTAGAGGCCAGAGGACCAGGAGTTCAAGACTAGCTTCGGCTCCATAGTAAAACTGTCCCAAAACAGTAACAACATAAATAAAAGGTGGAGGGCGCACAGCCACCTGTGACTCCATTTCAGGAGATCTGGCCCCCACCCTCCTCACCTCCACAGGCAACAGGCACATACACTCAGGCGGTTAATCTAAAAAAATGAAAAAACTGGAGTTGGGTGTAGGTGCACACCTTTGATCCTAGTATTCAGGAGGCAGAGGCAGCCACATCTCTCAATTCAAGGCCAACCTAGTCTACATAGTGAGACCCTGTCTCCAAAAAGAAAAAAAAAAAAAGCCTGAGAACTAAGTTACTAGAAGGCATAGCTGCACCAGCTCTGACCATTTACAGATTGTCTTAAACTTCAGTGATTGAGGGAGGCTAGCCTTGTGCTTAATTACAAATTGTCTTGGGCTGCCTCAGCCTTTACATGGCCATTTATTGCCCACGTCTGTATGTGACTTAACATCCATTCCCTTGGAAAGAACAAGACTCCTAAGCTTCAGCCCACCTAAAAACCAAGTCCGAGTGCGCTCATCAGCACCTGGGGTCTACATGCAGATTTCTCCTGCTTTGTCCCAACCAACTGACAGAAGACTGTTGATTTACATCTTTGCCTCCCAAGTGCTGGGATTAAAGGAGTGCAACACCAAGCCCATCTTGGCAAACAATTTCAGCAATCAGGAGGCAGAGGCAAGCAGAAACCTGAGTTTGAGGCCAGCATGATCTACAGAGCAAGTTCTATACACAGTCCAGAATACACAGAGAAACTGTTTTGAAAATCAAGACAAAAAGCTAGGATCATCATGTCCCTCCTGAGAGGGAAACAACTAATATATCACATAGCAAAAAGGTTTTTGTAGCTCTGTCCGGCCTGGAACTCACTATATGTGAACTCAGTGATCCACATGTCTCTCTGCCTTTCAAGTGTGGGACTAAAGACGTGCTATCATGTCTGAAATAGCATACCATTTTTACCAAATTGCCTAGCTGAAATTTAATGAATGAACAGTTAGAGAGGCAGATTATGGAATATTCTACAATGGACTGGACTGCAAAAATATAAACTTATTATGCTTTCTGGGGGTGGTGATGGATACTAATAGTTGAACCTAGGGACTCAAGTATGCTAGAAAAGTACCTTATCATATATTGCTAAACAAAGTTTTGTTGGTTTTCAAGACAGGATTTCTCTGTGTTGCTTTGGAGCCAGTCCTGGAACTAGCTCTTGCAGACCAGGCAAGAGATCCGCCTGCCTCTGCCTCCTGAGTGCTGCGATTAAAGGCTTGCGCCACCACCGCCCAGCTGCTAAACTACTTTTAACAGTATTGTGTGTGTGTGTATGCTCGTGTGCACACTGGTGTGAGCGTAACTTGGAATTTGTTCTCCTATTGTGGGCTGTGGGGATCTGACTCAGATCATCGTACTTCACAGCAAGCACCTTGCCCCCGAGTCATCTTGCTGGCCTGAAAACACCTATTTCTTAGTGTTGATTCTCAACCTATGGGTGGCAACCCCATCGTGGTTTGTTGAACAGCTCTTTCAGAGGGTCACCATTGGAAAACACAGATATTTACATTGTAATTTCGTAACAGTAGCGAAATTAGTTAAAAAGTAGCAACAAAACTAATTTTATGGTCCCCACAGGGTCACCACAACATGAAGAACTGGATTAAAGGTGGCAGCATTAGGGAGGTTGGTTTGCATTAGGGAGGTTGAAACCACTGGCTATAGTATAAAGATACCCACCTCATTTCAGCAAGTCAACCTTTAGCCTAATTTATATCCCAAGGACCCTCCATGGAAAGCTTGCAGCTTCAAACTTTAAATCCTTCCCTTTAGTTTCACTCTTCAGAAAGTGCCCACATAGCACTTTCTCTTCTTCACACCAAGCTCCTCTTTTGCTGATGGCATCACTTCCCTCCATGTTTTCCCAGAATTCACTCTTCATCTAATCAACTGTAGCCAAAATGACTTAAAGTGCTTTTTTTTTTTAAAAAATATTTATTTATTTATTATGTATACAATATTCTGTCTGCATGTATGCCTGCAGGCCAGAAGAGGGCACCAAATCTCATTACAGATGGTTGTGAGCCACCATGTGGTTGCTGGGAATTGAACTCAGGACCTTTGGAAGAGCAGGCAATGCTCTTAACCACTGAGCCACCTCTCCAGCCCCTTAAAGTGCTTTTCATTTGAACTGCTGTCACCCTGACCCAACATCCTCATTAAGTTACTGTACAATTGCTCGGCCATCTTCCCTGCCTCTTTCCTTTCTTCTGCTTTCCCCTCTCCTGTTTGTTGCTATTGTTGGTGTTGGTACAACGGTAGACATTCAATGTTTGTATCATGAAGGCTGTTACAGCATTACCTTAGAAACAGTATACACCCTGGTTGATGGTTGTGAACTTTGTTCCCTCCTTGGCTCCCTCCTATGGCAACGAGGAAATAGACCATTTAAATAATTCTGAATTCTTCCAATTAAGAGCCTGGATGGGTGTGATGGTACACATCTGTAATTTTATTATTTGGGAAGTAGAGGCAAGAGGATCGAAACTTCGAGGGAAAAAAAAAATCCTTTCTTCCCACTCCAGTGGTGAAAAGGTCAAATATAAGACAGTTAAGTAAAATTATCTTTGGGGTCTAGGATTAACAACACCCTATCCCAATTCTCAAATGTCACATCCTTAAACGTCTTTTATTACCTCATAGTACCTATATGTATGTTCACATAACTTTTAAATTTGCTATATTAGGGAGTTATTCTAATCTACCTCTGGCCACATCCAAAGGATCCTCAAAGGACAGGCCACTAGCATGAGTCCCTGGGAGGAGTTATGAAACGGAAAGCAATGGGTGGAATCACAGGAAGAGCATCTGGAGGAAACAAAGCAACGATAGCTGTCTGGCTAGGAGACTGGAGCTGTGGAAAAAGCTGGTTCTCACAGCAACTAATTTTGAGGCCACTAGCTGTCCACCAAATAAATGTACTCACTGCTTTGGTTTATTTTACAACTCTACTTCTTGAGAGAAAGGTTTTCAGGTAGGAGTGAAGTTTTATCAAAGGTGGTATCAATACCTTCCAAAGTAGGCTTACTGATTGAACGCATGCATGGACTTAGTGTATATCTTAAAAAACAACAAAAACCAAACTTATTAAAGTTAATTTTACCAACAACTCCTGGCATGGCTTTAAACACAAGGCATCTAAATTTCAACTTACTACTTTACTGTTACAGTAATCTGACTGTACCATTGTCACCCAGACCTATAAGCAAAAAGCAGAGAGACTTTCCAGTATTATGGGGCTTCTGAAGTAAAACAAAGTTGTTTTCTTAGTTCTTTCAAGGGCTAAACCATTTTCTAATCTTTTATCACAAGGATTCCAAACCAACCACAGCAAACACAAATACTGATGTCTAAGCTAACAGAGCTGCTCGAGCAGGCAGGGAAGGCACAGGCACTTAGAAGGGCTGGCTGCTACACAGCACATCCTCCAGACTACCTTGATGACTTTGGTTTTGAGACGGGGTTTTCTCTGGCTCCCTGGCTGTCCACAAACCCAGAAATCCTCTGCCTCCTGAATGCTGGGACTAATGGTGTGAGACACCATGCCCAGTTCAGCCTCCACTTCTCAATGCAAAAAATGGCACAATACCTAATTTCAGTTCAAACTCATTTCCCTTTATTAAAGTCCAAGTTACTATTACATGGTTTGATACTCAAAGGAAAATTTGTTCAAATAAAACATTTCCAGGCGACTGTTTTAATCAAGTAGCAATAGCAGTGAGTCCTTGGGAAGCCCGTCTGTAGAGATAAAAAAACAAAAACAAAAATCCAAAGAATTAGCAAACAAAGTGCTGAGAGGAAGGTATCTTACCTAAAATCACTTTTGGTACTACAATCCCAGGAGTTCATCACTGGGGCACTTTCTGCTTTTGATACAGTCCTAGTCAACTTACAGGGACTAGCTCTGCGGCCTCTTCATAATTTTACCACTGGTACTTAGCTTTCCTTTTTGATTAGAAAAGTGCTTAAAACCAGGTAATTCTAGAACTCAGATCAATGTAAACTAAGGGATAGTAATCTGGGGGTTGTTCGAGACGGCTCAGCAGGTAAAGTCATTTTGCTGCTGAGCCTGACAATTTGAGATGAATCCCCAGGATCCACGTGGTAGGGGGAAACTGACTCCTGCAAACTGTCCTCTGGATTCCACAGCTGCTCTGGCACAAGCATGCTCCCCTTCCCCACACATATGCATAAACAAATAAACAGCAGGGCAGTGCTGTCACCACCCCACCACTCTCTGAACTGGCTCTTCTGACTTGGTCAGGGACATACTACTTACAGACGGGAGTTTACACTTTGTCGAGGCCTAGTTCCTCTGGAGTGGAAATTCCCAGTTCATTTAAAGTTGGTCTAAGTTCCTGGATGACATAGGGATAGATTTCCTTATGAGGTCCTGCTTTGTCCTGTTGGCAGTAAGAACAATCTCTATTAACAAATGAGAGTAGGGAAGCTTTTAATCACATTGGCAGGGCTGGGGTTATAGTCAGTTGGTAAAATGCCCACTAAGCATTCTACTGAAGCCTTCCAGTTTGGTCCCCAAACCACAAAACCAGGTGTTTACTCCTGTAATCTTAGCACTTAAGAACTAGAGGCAGGAGGATCAGAAGTTCAAGGTGGTGATGACAGAAGAAAAGGTAATTAAACATGCCCATCAGGCATCAGAAAATTAACACAAGGAAAGTTTTAAAATTTGCTTGCAATTTAAAGGCCTAACTGAATTAACTACCAGTGCTGAATGACTGATAGCTTATAGAACCTCAATTATCTTACTCATTATGTATAATGGTATTGTCACTTTCCCCTTACAAACCTTAAACCCCTCTCCCCCAAGACAGGATTTCTTTGTGTAGTCCTGGCTGTCCTGGAACTAGCTCTATATACCAGGCTGGTCTCGAACTCAAGAGTGCTGGAATCACCACCACACCCAGCTCCTTAAACTTTCTTACAGAATATGTCTTTTCGTGGAGAATTGTACTCAGAGGATATTATGTGCAAGGCTAATTCTGATAAGTGATATGACCCAACTACTCCTGGAACAACTTTAGCATCATTCTCTTACTGACCTTAACAACCTCCAAGATGCGAACAGCACTAGCAAAATCATTTAACCGTCTACATGCACGCAAAGCAGCATCAATGATTTTGGGCTCAGGAACCAAATCATAACCAACAAGTGTGTTCATCCCTGTTAAGTTAAAAAAAAGAAGAGTCACATTAACCTGAAATAGCCTTCTTAACACTAAAATTTAGTTATCTATCTACTTTCCATGGCATAGCTCTCTATATTCTTACTGAACCATGAACATGTGACCTCATTAGTTTGGATCACTGTTCTTTTATCTATAAAATGGGATTCTACCTGTAACAAACTAGTAAGAACACTGTGAATCTTCTACAAAGAATTAGCAGAATTATGCAACAGTATTAAGATTAAAGGAAACACCTTAGAGGTCGTCAATTTACATGCTTAACTGTGAATACAATATAGGGATTTTTAAATCATCTAAAAACCACTAGAATACCTAAAGAGAGATAATGAGACCCAAATCAGGCATTAAGACATTAGAGAAAAACATTAGTGTAAAGACTCAAAAAACATTCAACCAGAAAATGACAGGGCATGATTACTTTTGTGTCTGCACAAAACGGCACGTCATGAAAATTGAAGACTTGATGAGAATGCAGAACTGCTGTTTTTCATAGGTTATTCAGTAAGAACCGCCCCAGCTGCATCAAGATGGAGCCATTACATTCCAGCAGAGAGGTTAAAAGCACTTGGGTTTCTTACTTTTATTATTGTAAAATTTGAAGAAAAAAATACAAGCAAGTAACAACCACACTTGCATGGTTATATAAGTTATATATAAGTCTGAGATGACTTACATAGTTAGTACACGGACAACTAATGACCGATACATATATAATACTAATTATAATGTGTAATACATAATAATAGTTTATTTCCGCTTTAAAAAAATCTGCAACTCATAACTTAAAACTAACAAAAACCAGCCGGGCGACGGTGGCGCATGCCTTTAATCCCAGCACTCGGAAGGCAGAGGCAGGCAGATCTCTGTGAGTTAGAGACCAGCCTGGTCTACAGAGCTAGTTCCAGAACAGGCTCCAAAGCCACAGAGAAACCCTGTCTCGAAAAACAAAACAAAACAAACAAACAAAAAAACCCCACAAACAAACAAACAAAACACTAACAAAAACCTCAGACAGGGTGGGGATCAAATGACTACTCATGTACATTAGCTGAAGGCACAGAACTAGTAACTTAGCTAGCCTGTATCTGCAGCAGTCATTTTCAGTGAGGGTGGTTTGTCATGTAGGTAATTTCGACACTGGGCAATATCTGGAGATGGTTTTGGTTTTCGTAATTGTGATATATTTATCACAAATACAGGTCAAATACAGGTAGAGGTCAAAGATGCTATTAAACACCCTCCAGTGCAGAGTTTCAAACTAGTTAGTGAAAATAGTTCATATTTACACACCCTAACAGACAGATATGTCTATGTTCCAATTACCTTTACGCAATTCCCAGGCATCGATGTCTGGCTTGTTGAAGTATGTCACCCAGCGAGCATCAAACTCCTCATCTGTCTCATGTGATCCATGAGAATAGCAGCGAATGGACTGGACAGCTACAAAGGAAAAGAGCAATGACTTCAATAGCAATAAGACTATTTTGAAATGTAAATGCTGTATCATGTCCTTAATATAGAAGCTGGCAGAAGAAAGAGTAGAGAACAAGAGAAGAGGACAAAATATATAAAGAATGCTTAACATATATTGTCTAATGCATTAAGTTGTCTTTTTATTTTTGAGGCAGATCTTGCTA